GACAACAAATAAGTGAAATTGTCGATGGCGAAAAGGGGTCGTTTATTAGTGGAGTGTGTAAAGCAAGCCTCAAATTGCAGCCATTTTTGAGTATCATTACCATCAAATATCAGTATTTGTAGAGCTGGTAGCATGAGTTGCGGGGTGGGCGTTAAGTTTGTTTATGAGTTGAGGTGGAGTGATGATTGTGCAGGTGAGGGCCGAAAAGAGTACAGATTAATGGGTTGATAGATTAACTAGCCTATCTTGGGTTTCTTCTATGAGCTCCAGCTGGGGAGTAGTTTTTGAAGAGAGGCTATCATAAATCTTTTCTTCTTCGGAAAAGGTCTGCAGGGTGTTCAACGAGCTGCTAAACTTGTCGTAATAAAATTGCACTGCCTGCAGCGATTCGGTGTAGACAGCTGTGAACCTATCTGTCTCGTTTTCCTGCACCCCTTATATTGTCGTTTTAGCGTGGCGTGCAGCGGTAATTTTTTGACGAAGCTGTCCTGATATTGTAGATCCAAATACTAGTGAGGAATGCCAAGCAAATAAGGCCTGGATTTGGTAGTCGCGAAGCGAATAAGTTTAGATTTTGTAGCATAAGGGGAAAGTTGGTCTCAGCAGCTAAAGAAAGAATGGTTGCTAGAGCCTCCTTGTGATGGAAGAGGAGCCATTGGATGCAGTGTAGTCACATATTGTTTTGTTGGGGTGCCATTTCAATTTGTGCCAAGCCGGTTTTTACCAACTGGAGTTCTACATCATCATTTAAACTCTTTAGACTTTAAGTAAGCCTCAAAAATACTCGAGAATTTATATGCAGACAATGTTCAAGAGACTGAGTCGTGGTATGAAAAAGAGGAATCGATATTTGCGTGTGCAAAAATGAACATTAGAAAGTTCACTTCAAGTAGCACAAAGGCCGATGAAGAACAATAGTCGTATGCTGGATAAGAAGGTTGAAGGGTCAAAAATTCCTTGAGATAAATACGATGATGTAATAAAACTTATTTTGTCGCAGATTTCAGTAGTTAAATTAGAAATATTTTCTTTGTATAGAAAATAGGGCCTGCCACGCGTAAATCCCAATAATATATTACCAAAGACAGCGAATAATTATTTGTTATATCCAAACAATATCGTTGTCAAAATCTTTAGAATAATATAAAGAGTAGTAGCAGCAGCATTGTCACAGCCAGTCATCATTAGACTTAACGATTACACTTAGCCCTTGAAAACTTTTGATTACAGTTTCACATTTCTTTTGTGAAGTTTTTTATTTTTTATTTGAAATAAGTACAATTATTCAACTCACCTTCCAAATCTTTTACCGAATAGTTTACTAACTTTTGTAGATCAAATATCATCTGTAATTTGAGAGATAATTCTAACCAACCCGTTTTAAGTACCATTTAGTAAAATTTAGTGTTCTTGGATAAATCGTCAGTTAGTGTCTTCTCGGCTTCTTCTTCACTACCTGTAACTGATGTTCATTTTGAAGTTTCAGACTTGCCTTGTTTGCCGTCTTTATTGACTGTTCAATGCACAGTTTTTTAGCTTTCGACTGATCATCTGTTTGCTTTTTTTTCTCGTTACTATCTTTGGCAATAGAGCTGTTGCGTGGAATAGAAATAAAATTACGAAGCGTAGAACAGTACAGTTTCTGCAGTATTATTATTATGATCCTTCTGAATTTCTTTCACCATAATTATTAAAGTTAAAATTATTCTGTCAAGTGTTTCAGTAGAAAAAACTGACGCAGAATGAAGAAATTAATCCCAGTTGGTTGAAGCAACTTGGTGAGTTATTAAATAATTAGCAATTTTTATAATTAGAGATGAAGCGCCGTGTATCAGATGGAAAAATTACACAAATACACCTACTTCTAGATGATTCTAAAGTAATTGGTTCAACTGTTTACACGGGCGCCTTGGGGAGTACAAAGAATACGCGACCAAATGTCATTCGCAGAGGTAAGAGTGGGTCAGTGAAAAAAATTACTATTTCTCATATCGGCTAAACAGCTGCTCTATCAGGAGTTGAAGCTCTGAATTTTGTTGGACGACACAGCCAGCATGTAAGTCAATATCGTCCTACGCTTAGTCGAACTCTGAATATTTTACTTCTTAATTAAAGGTCGAGGATCCTAATAAATTTCCGAAATTTGTTGCGAAACGAGTGCAAGATACGCGTTTTAGTATGTACAAGTTCCGATATGCTCTTTGAGCAAATAACTCAGCAGATGCGGGATTAAGAGAAGTAATCTAGGATGAATTATTGTCAGAAACAATTCGGTGGGAAGAGCTGAGTTGGCTATAGGTAACTCTGAAAGTTTGTCTTTGAGTGGTCAGTGTTGTTTCAACCTGCAGGAACTTTTACAAGAGGCGAAGAGCTCTTCTGGAGAAAAGGTTACGGTTTTAAACACAATCTCGGTAGTGAAAAAGTTGACCAAAACTGAAGATTTAATGAGCACAGAAAACCTTTCGCGTAGGGAAAGGTTATTAAAAAATAAAAAAAAAGTAAAAATATATATAAGTGCAGCCTTTTCATGTTGTAGAGCAATTATTTTATTGAAACTTGTCACGCAAAATATGATTCATCCAGAGCTCTTCAGAATCTTCGTTGATTTTTGCTCGCTAAATTTTCAGGTAATCTTTTGGACAGATGGTACTAGCGCGCTAAGGGACTGGCTGTTTTTTACAGAATGCATGAATGACAGCAGGGGAATAAAACAGCAACGGTTGGGAGGAAAGCAGTAGCAAAATGAAAAGAGTGACAAAGAAGGAGACACCGCAGCTGTCTTTTAATTTCTTGTCACTTTCGAATAATGGATTTCAAAGGGTGTTTTGGCATAGTTGTAGTGCTTCCGCTCTTAACTTCCGCATTTCGGGTTTTGACTCAGGTATCCTGTGGCACTTCTACACCCATTCAAGCCTTTTTCTGCATTCTGTCAGGTTTAGAAAATTGGCTGTTTGTGTGGCGGTTACTTTTCAAACAATCAACGCATGTTTCTGCTTTACAGGTTAAAACTGATAAGTACGAAAGCAATACAGTTTTTGAAAAGCTTCTCAAATAATGAGCCTTTCTTTCTGAACGGGGAGAGCAAGATAAAAATCGAAATACTTGTTAACGATAAGTTTTTAGCACTTGGAACAGCTGTCGACAAACTCAGTAAGTTCTAGTCTATCAACCGTCGCAACAGAAACCCTGGATCACATCGCTGCATTCTGTGTTACTCACCACCGCTGTCATACAAGTTCTGTACCCCTCTTATCAATATACTGTTTTAGAGACGCAACCACATATTGCACGAAGGGTCTGAAAGTAAAGTACTTGAACGTTATTTGTGGCTGTGATGTGAGGCAACTGTATGGACTGGAGGAAACAAAGGATAAAAAACAATTTAAAAATAAAAAAGGAAAAAGATATAATTTGAAAAGGAATGGAAATAATACTTCCACGTTAAATATTATATGAAAACAAGCCACTCATTAAAACGACAGTAGCCTGAACTGACAAAAATCACCAAAGCAACAGATCACCTTAAACAACTCGTCACCAAACGGCAATTCACCAAAGCAATGACCACCCAAAAGAAGAACTGCTTCTCAAATGAAAACACACCAAAACTACCTCTCCTCAAAGAATGAAGTACAAACTCTATAGCCTTCTAAAGGAGAGGTCTTTTCTCCTCAGGAAGGCCTCTAATACAACGTATGATAACCAATGTCGGGAGTAACTTTCCTAAATCTTCCTTTGCACCTAAAACCAGATGCCGGGATCAATTATACAATTGGAATTTAAATGTATGTCACGGATGCCCCAACGAGCGACGAATGAGCGGCACCTGAGAAGAACGGAAAAAGATGCCTCATCGGTAATTGAGAATGCCCTTGTATCTTCCATGGACCACGAGTAAATCTAAAGCGCTTGCCAATTTACATTTGGACAAAAGCAATTAGAAGCAGATCAGTTTGGGAAATTGAGGATGAGGAAGTTGCCGTCAAACATCAGCCATAAGAAGGACAAAACGAAAATAACTTAAAGAACGAAATGAAAAGGCATTAGGCATCAACGGCAACATAACGTTAAGTTAGGAGATAGAGAACAGCAATAACAATTACCGAAGTTACGAAAACAAGAAATAATGGTAAGTCAAAACCTACTGGAAGATAGACATATTTTGAAGAAACATTATTGACTAGACGTACGAGAATTAAACCAGTGACGCGAAAGCTGAGTGGTTCCGGAACTTAACTAACTCAAGGGAATATAAACATTTTACTAGACGTCCAAACGTCATACCAGTTGCGGGTATTAACTTGACCGTTCAAACCGCTCCATCAAAACCATTTATCAAGAATCCATTTCTTACGAGGATCCACTCATCTCATTGGTCGTTTTCGTCCTTGACGAGTACAGTCTGTCCAGGTATCGGCGTTGAGTGTGAATTACACCTTGAAAAGTTGATAACAGTCCGTTGCTTTTCATGAAAATCTGTCGTTTAGAAACTCAGTCTCCAGAAAGAACAAGGTTTAGACAAAACTGCTGATGTTTTCTAAAAGTCCTCTGTTAGCTGGTCTTTCTTTGGCGACTGCACATAGGTTGGACCTTCCACTTAAAAATCGTCTGCTTTGAATACAGGAACTGAACTACACGGGAAAATGAAATCCACTGGTTGAAGAACGATCGTTTTTGAATCATCATAAATGCGCTTGAGAGCGCGGCTACCAACTATCGACTCAACCGCACAAAGTTCCTCTAAGTCTTTCCTCTAAGTCTTTCCTCTCTTAATTCCTTTAAGTCTATAATTCTTCTACCTGTTGTTTTCTTCAAGCATTTCTTAACAATTCCGACTAACCTCTTGTAATAATCGCCCCTTCAAGGTGACAACGGAGTGATAAAATGCGAAACAGTTTTGTCAGAAGAAAAAAATTTTGTAATATACGGCTCTTGCGCGACTTGAAACGAAAGTCTTTGAGAATTTCCCTCGCGCCTTTGAAAGTTGTTGCATTATTTGATCAAATGATGCGTAAGGCTTCCCTGCGTACAGTGAAACGACGGAGGCAATTTAGGTTCATCTCCGACCTTAAGTTTTTGACGACTTTGAGATGAATAGCCTTAGAAGTCAGACAAGTGTATAAAACTATCTAGATTTTTACTTTTTGTGAGCCAAATTTGACAGTTATTGGTCCACCACAATCTAATTCCACGAACTAAAGAGTCCGTGATACTCTCGTTTAGAAATTTGGCTTAGGAGCCATGGTGAGATCTGCGTACGGTTTCGCTCTATTCCTTACGCATGCCTTGCATTTTCCAATCACTTTCTTTATTTCCCTCCTACCCTTCAATACCCAAAACCTCTGTCGTAGCTCGGCTAGCGTCACCTGTACTGGTGCATAGAACAATCGACAGTGAATACTGCTGATGGTAAACCTAAAGACTTAGCTTCTCTATAGCATCAATATTGGGGCTTTAACATACGAATCTAGCCCAGCTCGTACAAATATTTCGTAGCACCGTTGTATGCCATTTGAAATTTTGAGACCTTAATGTAAAATAAGGTCATTTTTTGCCCCTTCCGGTAATACTTCTAAAAAATGATTTAGATAGCTCTCGCTTGGCTGATAGTACTTCTTCAGCGGTGACTTCTCCGTAAGCTTCTACTTTTCTACTTTTTCCAGACATTTCATTCTTCGTTAAACCGTTCTTTTGTTTTGTGACTGAGTTGGTTCCATATTTTCTTCTTTAAAAAACGCAGCATGATAACAACAGCCTGTTGAAAATAAACTCAAGGACGAGCGTTCATACGTTCTAAAAAGTCATCTCGAGCACGAGCAACGGTGTCCATAGTTTTTATCATTACTGAATGCAGAGAAAGAACTTCTCGTGTGCTATAACAGATTCGGAGCCATTTATCTTGGTCATAGCTCAACCGTTCTGGTCCACTCTACCAGGATTTGAACCTACTCAGAAATTTTGAAGTACAGCCTGTTGAAGATAAATCTGATAAATTTTTATTATCCTCGACATACCTGTAGTCAATTTTTTTTTCTTTTTTGCAGCCCTTATCTCATTTACTCAACTTTCAATAAACACTGGGAGAAGTTTGGCGAAAATGTCCGTTCCAAAAAACATTTAGAATCACACCACAAAAAAACTTGAGAAGAATGAAGTCGAAGTTCATAGAGTACAAAATTCAAGGGCCTTACTCTAAATAGTAAACCCGAAAGTTCTAGCCTGGGGAGAGATATATTCCTAGCGGGGTTTAAGCGTGTCTTGACAAAAACTAGTGAATTTTTCCAACAATAACCCATGCGAGCATGTACTTACACAACAGCTGAATGCACCTTTCCAAAGACGTCAGTAAAAGTGTGCAGCTCGGATGGCTCCCAATCCGCAACCAAAACCATTTGCTGAATCCGGATACAGGAGGTTGATGATCGTTCAAGGCATATTTGCCTCCACTCATTAATGAGGATCGTTGGCACTTTTCCAACCTAACCCAATTTCGTACGACATAACTTTTAAAAAATACTTTACAGATGACCAATGTCAGAGCGAAATAACCTGAAGGATCATATCGAAAAGCTAAGTAGTTGAGAAAACTTCTTTCAGTCAGTGGACTGTTGGCTACAAATGGCAACACAGAAAAAATGGATTCTTTGCGTTTAATGTCCCACTCAACCGCTTACAGCTTCGCGGGTTTATCTATTTTAATGAGATCACTTTGAGGGATGTTATCTTCAAATTTCGGAGTGTTCGGCATCCATTCAAGAAGACTGACCCCCACGTCGGCGAAAAAAAAACAATAAAAAACCGCTGGTTCATTCGAATCTTGAATTCTGGCAAAACTGTTGTCGACGTACAATTGAGAAGTATTTTTTTAAAAAACCCTTTTTCGTAATCACCTGCAATCGATCCCAAACGGCAGACGTGTCGAATAATGACCGCGCTGAAGGAGTTGGATGTTATCACGAAAGAAATATAACAAAAACCTGTATGTTTTGACACTGTCCTTCTTTAATCCTTGAGTAATCTTTGATCCCGAGAAATCGCGTAGCATTGCGCCTGGATCTAGAGATACCTGCCTATACGCTTTTTCGATGTAAGCCGTTGTTAAACATCGGTAAATTCTTCCACAAAGTAGTATGCCTACTGAATCAGGCAGTATTACCGGCTTCCTTAACAGAGTTCCATTTAAGCTTTTTACACATTTCCCAGCTTTTGCTTAAGCATCATATACAATCCGCACTTTCGTTATTGCTTTGCCTGGCTTTATCACTGCTTGATGAGTTATATCGTGGATCAAATTGCTGCCCCTACAATGTTCACCTACCTCCTCGATTATCCCTTGCCAGATTTGGTCATTTAGCGCGTTATTGAATTTGTCCAAGATAAGTCAATTTTGTCTTAGCTGCTTCAGCAGAGTTCTTTATCTTCTCAAGCAAAGCGTATGGTTATTGGACAATATGTTCATTTGAACACCACGGCCACTCTACCTGATAACTACCTGCTTCAAGCTTTACGCTGTCTTCAAACTGTCTAAGCGAAACGTCATCATCTTTTTCTACTGGTGACCTCAAAATACCAACAGTTTTGAGACTTCAAAATTCCTCTAATTCTGTTTCACTCAGTTGAGCAGGCACCACATTAAGTTTGAGAACCTGATTCAACCTTTTCATGATTGACAAGTTCGTTTCTTCTGACTTTAAAAAATCTGTCTCTTTACTTGTCATGAAAGTCTCAAACGTGCCGTTGTTACAAAAATAATTGTCGTTCTGGGTAAAGATCTTCGCTTTCTGAAGGACTTCCCAGTAATAGTCCAACCCCATCAAGACTTCGATTTTGGCGGACTCACAGTTATTTCCAGCCAGCTCTCTGATCTTTTTCTTCGCATTTGGGGTGAGAAAAGGTATAGCATTTGTTGTAACTGTCTTCCTCATCCGGTCCTGAAAGACTAATAAGGTTTCAACTCTTTTCGATGCCATTGTGACTTGCTTTCTTCCGCTAAGCGGGAACACTCTCATTGTTTCTGAGCCCAAAATTTGCAAATTCAGCTGTTGTGACAAATCAGCCGTAATATACGACCTTTCGCTTCTGCTGTCCAGCAAAATTTTAACTTCCCTCTCTTTATTTCCTTTCAGATTAACTACGTTGACTTTCCAATCGGGAGGAAATACGTGTTGGAAAATGAGACTAATTTTAAATCACTTACTTCTGTTTTGCAGTAGGTTACACTTGCCGCGTTGCATTGAGTTGCTGAATCACTAATATCATTGGAGGAACACCTCTTCTTGTCTGGGTTATTTCTATCTCTGTTTTTGACTGCTTTATATCCTGAAAATTTTTCTGGGCAGAGTGCCCTATTATGCGTAGTACATCCACAATAGAAACATTCTTTACAGTACCAGCATTGACTTTTTTGTGTGTCTTTTCCTCGAACATTTAAAGCACAATTTTAATGCTGATGCCCTCCTCTCTCAGCGTTACATCAAAACAGATAACGCCATTGAAATGTACTTCCGAGCAAAAACAACATGACATATTGCTTCTCTGACTAGCTGCTGTACCTGGTGCGCATGCAGCAGTAAGGTGGCCTGCTCTTCTGGGCTCTCAAAAAGTCGTGTTGTGCTCCCCAAAGGTTCTTCTGGCGTCACCCTCATTGTAACCTTGGGCTATCTCATAATCCTCTTTCTTCAAGCTGATATATCCCCTTAGCTCATCCGACAATTCTTTAAGTTCCCAAGCTTCTAGATTGGGTCCTTGCCTTTCCAGTTAAATTATTACTGGATTGCGTAGCTTTTCTACAACAACGGCGACTGTTCCAGTATGAGTTCAAGTTTACGAAATAAAGTGTTAGTTTTTGAGAAGAATTTCCTCGGCTCTCCTGTGTGACAAGATCATTTTAGAGCTTTTCATAATTCGGTAAACAGCGCTTGTTTCACCAATGCCTCACTCCAAAATTTTTCTGACAGCTCGATATTTTTCTCTAGTTTTGGGCTCCTCCCAGAAAACCCTCCGGAAATTTTTTGGCATTTTCTTTTAAGCAACCTCTGAGCATTGTGGTTTCTGCATTCCCGATTTACCGGGGTAGGTTGGTGAAGGGAGATCGGGCAACCGTTGAAAGAAATGAGCGTTTTCATTAAGAGATTCCTTTCTTGGCTGTTCTTCAACGTTCCATTTTAATTCAATTCGAAGCTCTTGTGCAGACAACAGGACTGACAAGAAATTATCACCCTTGTTAAGAAACTCATCATACAACTGTTCTTCCTTGCCCATTTCTACTCCTTCAAGTGATGCAAGATAGTCAGTGTATTCTCCTTTTTTCCTTCGGTTTTTTGGATCCCCAATTGTAGACGTGCTTTCAACTTGGCCCACTCAGTAGTGAATTCTGCCTCTTGTTGATGAATATTGCTGGAAGTCTTTATCACGTTCCCTTTTAATTTACATGCAAACCGAGTTATGACTGGTCTAAGGGCCGAGACATACTGACAAAATTAAGTCAATCACTATACCGCCAACGAGGGGAAGAAAATACAATAATGAGCATGTTTACAAATACAGATTCAATCGAGAGAAAAATTTGAACAGTTGTATTCGATGAATAGAACGCTTTACGATAACAATTCTTTGAAATCTTTCTGTCCATTACAAAGAAATGAGTCGTGGTCGCCAGAAAATTTATAGACTGGAATAGACAAAGGACAAAAAACTTAATTGGAAAATAAAGAAGAGAAACGGTATAAATTGAAACGGAGTAGGAATAACACTTTTACGCTAAAAACTTTATTGAAACAACACCACTCATTAAAACAATAGCTTGAACTCACAAAAATCACCAAGACAGATCACCTCAAACAACTCGTCACCAAATGGCAATTCACCAAAACAATAAATAATCAAAAAAAAAAAACTGCTCTTTGAATGAAAACGCACCAAAGTGTCGCGTCTGCGACAGCCACTTTTGTCAGCAACATCCTGCTGTTCGATCTTTTGCTAACCTCTGTTTTCTTATTTCTATTACAAATCGGAGTTGATAGTAATAACTCAGTGTTATTTATAAGTCTTCAGGAATGACTGAAAACATTTTGACACGATTCAGTGGTGGCTATAAAGTGGGATTGTGAAGTTTTTAACCAGAGCTCAACACGATCCCTCAACTGTATCAAGGCAGCAAGACAGCGACGTTGCTGCTGTCGCAGCTTGTCTGAAAGAGGAACTTTTTTGAAAGGCTTTTTTTTAGATGTACACCACAAATTCGATTTTCTGGAAATGCGAAAATTGGCTAAAGGCAAGTTTTAAAAAAATAGACTCTCGATAGTGATTCGAAAGCGTTGAGAGTCGCAGCACAAAATGTGTTTTGTCTAAGTCTATAGTGGTCTGGTAAAAGTTCATCAAGACAGTTTTTCAGTTTTATTTTTAAAAGGGCAGTAGCATTTTCTTGGATTATAAATTTATAAAATTTGGTTCTATCTTAACTTTTGAGTTTAATAAATAAATGAAAAATAAAGGTTTTAATGGGTAGAAAGTTGTACTATTCTGCGGAGATACTCTTATTCTCTTTAAAGCGAGTGCAGCTACACCTTCTAATAGTAGCATACTAAACAGCAACTTGATAATTTCATACAGCTCTGTAGAACGGTATTTTTAAAGTGGCTTTTATTTGACTCAAAAAGTTTGAGCCTGAAATTCACAGGCTGTTCAGGTTTAGAAAAATTTAAAACGTAAGATAAGAATGGTGCACGACGCTTAATTGCCTGTAATTGTTTTTGTGACCTGTAATTCTGAAGATAATGAAGAGGACAAAAACGCTTATTGAAAAAAAAAGGTCTACAAATGAAATATTTTTTTCTGAATTTACCAGAAAATCGTGATTGGTCACAGGAAGGAATAGTGAATAAAGAGAAGCGTTAGAACGCTTATATGAATTTTTACATTGATATTTTAAAATTTTTTACTTAGTTTATCAAAAACGAGTGAATTCAGAGAAGTTGAAGAGTAGCTTGCAATGACTTTCCAAAAAATGTTAAAAGCTCTGTATTCTTTTTTTTGGACCTTTTTGAGTGATTGATATAAGAGCAGTGAGATATCATGAGGGCAGAGAGTATGTTCAGAGAAATCCAGAAAACGTATTTTAGATCAAGATGGATTCAAGGAGAGGAAGAAGAAAGGGCGGGGAAAAAAGAAAGTAGCTTTTTGCTTAGTACGATAAACAAAAGGAAGAGGTTTTAGCTTAGTTGTTGGAGACACAAATAAATCCCATTCATAAAGACCCCGCCTCTGCGCTCAAGCATTAAAAGCTATTCTGCCAAAATGCTGTGGTCCGGTTGTTATTCTTTATTAATAATTTTACAATGTTTCAGCACAATCACTGAAGCACAAAATCAGTAAGTCACTTTTTTTTTGCTGAAAGAAGTAATTTTTTTTGATTCAATTTTATGTTATTACTGTTTGTATGTAAGAAATACAAAGTAAAAAGTAGAGACTGAAATATGAA